CGAACAGAGAAGTCCGAGCCGAAGCTATCCCGGAGCTGGAGACGAGCTGCGCGGATCCAGTCGATCAACACCTTCGTGACATCACCCTTGCTGCGCAAGGGGAAGACGGAGGTGTAACGCGAGTAGTCGTCAACCACCAGCAGGAAGTAGCGCTCGTGACCCTGCCCACGGACGCGGGCTGGGCCCCACACGTCCATGTGAAGCGTCTGCAGCGGGGCCTCCGTCGGAGGAAAGGGGGAGGAGTGAGGGGTAGCCCGCAGGCGACCCTCGACACAGGGAACACAGGGAGGGCCAGGCCTAGGAGGAAGGGGAGGGAGGGACCGGGGAAGACCTGAGACCAGGAGACGGGAGGCCATGCTCCGGAGACGAGGCAGGGAGGGGTGACCCATCCTGTGGTGCCACAGGAGGGTCTTGTGGGACAGGGTGCGACACGAGCAGGGGGCAGACTCAGGACCAGACTTGGACGCTGCAGCAAACACCTGACCCGACGCAAGCACCTGACCAGACGCAGGAGGAGGAGGAGACGGCACCGTGAGTGTGTACAGGCTCGACCCTGGCGCACGGGTAAACGTGGTCAAGTGTCAGCCCGTGTCCGCGTCCATGCAGTGGGTCTCCCGTCGGCGCGCAGGGGTGAACTGGTCAACCCCGCCATCCTGTAGGTCAGCACCCGCCACCAAGTTCGTAGAGAACGAGGGGAGGTACAGACCCGACAGGGAGCCAGACGGGACCGCAGGGCACGGAAGGACAGTAGAGTGGTGAGCGAGAACAGGACCCCCAGAGGGGTCTGCCAGGGAGACTGCCACTGGCCGACTGAGCGGCGTGAGTGTGGTGCGGTCTCGAAAGAAGGAGCGAGATGCCCCAGAGTCAAGAGTGAAGGTGAGGGAGGCCGGAGCCGACGCAGTACCGGAGAGAGCAGACTCGACAGCACCTGAGGACGCAGGCTCACTGGCACCTAGAGCAACCACCTCACCAGCACCTGGAGCAGCAGTCTCAACAGCACCTAGAGCAGCAGTACCAATGCCCGGGTCGGGCGGGAAACACCGGTAACAGTCACCCTCCTCACTAATAGTCACAGCATACATGGCACGAAGAATAGCATCAAAGTCAAGATCAAAGATAGCTACTCCTGCCCTAGACAGCTGGTCCCAGCGAGGGATCTCAGTGGAGTCGGGGAACTGGCGACGCCAAGCGTCAGTCAGGCGGCCAAAGCAGCGCTGGGTGGAGTGCGGACCCCCACACGGCTCACCCTGACGGTCGCCAGTGCGCAACACGTAGGTGCACGGGCCAGCACCCCCACCCCTCTGACGTGCAGCGTACCACTCACGGAGCTGCTGAGAGGAGAGGGTGTCGGGGCCTGGCTGCTGCTGCTGACGCTGACCACCCCCAGAGCCACTCCGCTGCGACGAGCCACGACCGCCTCCGCCACCGCCTCCGCCGCCGGCGCCACCACCGCCGCCACCACCTCCACTCCCACCGCCGCCACCGGCGCCACCACCGCCGCCACCACCTCCACTCCCACCGCCGCCGCCACCGCCGCCGCCGCCTCCACTCCCACCGCCACCACCGCCGCTGCCTCCGCCTCCACTGCCGCCGCCGACACCTCCGCCTCCCCCACCACCCCCACCACCACCCCCACCCCCCCCGCCGCCTCCACCGCCTCCTCCACTGCCCCGGCCAGCTCCTCCAGCGCCCTTGCCCCTGCCCCTGCCAGAGCGACGTCTCCCACTAGGGGCAGACGCCGCGCCGACCGACTCAAAACCACCGAGGTCGGCCGTAGCAGCAGAGGCAACAGAGGGCAACAGGGGGGAGGGGGAACACCCCTCAAGGATGGGGGTGCGCGGGTCACCACGAGAGGCTCCTACAGCGTTGATGCTCTTCTCCGCTGCAAGGAGGTCCTTCTCGAGGAGGTCAACAGTGAGGGTGGTGGGACAGACTGAGAGAAAGTGGTCCCTGACTGCGCGAAGGGTGTCAGGGAGGCGGGTGACTATGTAGTAGAGGGTGATGTACATGGGAGGGGGGTTCTTGGCGCAGAACTCAGCAGGAAGCGCAGCGCGGTAGCGAGTGTCACTAGAGCGGAGGTGCGTAATGAGGTCAGCGACTGTGGCAAAGGCAGCAAGGTCAGGGAAGAGGTAAGGCAGCATGAGGCGGCTCAGTGCAGCAGTGGCAGGGGAGGAGTAGCGTGCAACTACAGCGGCGTACAAGGTCTGAGCACTCTTGTACTGACTAAAGTGCGCACGCTCAGCAGTAGGGAGGTGGCGACGCACAGCAAGACGTGCAGCAGCATCGCGGGTGGCCCACTGTGAGCGAACAGTGGCGGTCTCAGTGTCAGCGGGGGCAGGGGAGGCACCGGAGGTGAGGTCAAAGAGAGAGAGGCCGTCAGTCCTATTGCACTGTAGGAAAAGCTGCAGGTCGTCGAGCCAGACGTCAAAGTCAATGGCCCGACCCTCAGCGTCAAACTCGAGAACGCTGGGGGTAGCCATGACCGCAGTACCCTAACAGCGCAGGCAATAGGCAGAGGGCAGTGCAGAGGGAGGGGAGCGGCCAGGTCTTACCAGACGGGGCGGCTCAGGCGGCTCGACTGCAGGGCGGCTCGGGCGGCTCGGCTGCAGGGCGGCTCGGCGGCTCGGCTGCTCGGGTGTAGGGCGGCTCGGCTGCTCCGCGGCTCGGGTGCAGGGCGACTCGGCTGCTCGGCTGCTCGGCGGCTCGGCTGCACGGCGGCTCAGGCGGCTCCACAGCGGCTCGGCTGCTGGGCAGCCCGGCAGCTGGCGACGCGGCGGCTGGTAGAAGCAGCAGCGGGGCCGGCAGGTGGAAGCAGCGGCGGCGGGGCCGGTAGGTAGAAGCAGCGGCGGCGGCCGAAAGAAGGGGACAGCGGGGCCGTCAGGTGCAGTGGCGGCGCCAGCAGATGCAGCGGCGGGGCCGGCAGCAGGGGACGGCGGGGCCGTAAGAGGTGCAGCGGCGGCGCCGGCAGAGGCAGCGGCGGGGCCAGCAGCAGGGGACGGCGTGGCCGTCAGAGGTGCAGCGGCGGCGCCGGCAGCAGGGGACGGCGGGGCCGTAAGAGGTGAAGCGGCGGCGCCGGCAGAGGTAGCGGCGGGGCCGGCAGTAGGGGACGGCGGGGCCGTCAGAGGTGCAGCGGCGGCGCCGGCAGAGGCAGCGGCGGGGCCGGCAGCAGGGGACGGCGGGGCCGTCAGAGGTGCAGCGGCGGCGCCGGCAGCAGGGACGGTGGGGCCGTCGTAGGCGATCGCGGGGCCGTCAGCGACGGCACGGGCGTCGCAAAGGTCAGAGGGGGGTGGCCCGAGCGGCGCGAAGGCTGCGCGACGCGGCCTAGGGTCGGCGCGACGTGGCCTGGGCCGCGCGCGCGAAAAAAAAAGGTCGCGCGCGCGCGACTCACGGGCCGTGCGACAAGAAATAAGGGGAGCGCGCCTCGGGAGAGGAGGGCGCGCTCCGGGCAGGAAGAAGGTTCGTTGGTGGGCCCTAAAAAAAACGGTCCTTAGGGAGGACCCGCTCTATACCATGTGAAGTTTAGAGAGAAGCGAATGGAATGAACTAGAAACAAGGGTGATACAAATATGAAACCCTAGATTGTTGTACCCCTTAGTGTCTAACCCCCAGCAGCCTACAGTGACTAAGGCATATAAGTCTGACAGTGGAGTCCTTCCCAACTCGTAACTCTTCCTAATTGTTCGTAACTTGTGTGCTAAGACAATGTTGCTGCCATAGTGCCGTTCGTTCAAACTGATGATGTGTCGTCAATTCTTGATGAAATCGTGCGATCCAAATTGCCTATTGTAGGCGACGTTAAGACGCTCCAGATCCAAATTGAATGAGGTCAATTGGAGCTGTGGCCAGATCGCTATGAACATTTAAAGCCGCTGGGCAGAAATCCGATTGTGCACTCTAGCTTCCGTTTTAGGCACATTGAAGTCTATTGGAGCCTATTGTGACTATAACAATTTGATTGGTGCCGAGCCTTCCTCCGAAGCTGGGAGGGTATCAGTGAGGTAACCCAATGAACTGATCGGCCTCCTGATTGGTCGATTGTATATCCTGCGAGAGTTGCTGAACGTTGCAACTGCTCTAAGGTCAGCTCGGGGGCACTTGCTGGGAAGTTGTGGGTTTACCCCGCGAGGTTGACCTGGGGCCCACATTCTGAAAGTGATTCTGGCATTCTGAATTTTGAGAAGTTCTCTCACACCCAGCAACGCTGCTCCTGCGTCTCGTTTTTCTTGCAGATCTGGTTCAGCAACTCGAATCACTCTAGCCATGGCTGCTGTTGCTGACAATAATCGCTAGCGGTCCTCTTGCAGTCGCAATCTCTGACTAGCTGCACCAGTAAAACTTTACTGAAAAGTAATGCCCCAGCAGTTGCTCGCGCAACTCACAAAGTAAGGGGCACTCGTTTGGTCCTAATTTCGACCAAAATTGGTACTTCCAACCAAAAAATGACCAAGACCAGTCCAATTTAGACACCATAACATAGACCAATTTCTGTGTACTAAACATCGGACGTTTCACCTGCTGTTGGCGTAATTTCTTGGCAGCCTCGGGACCGCTCACACGCTACGCGTTAGGTCGCGATGCGACTGCAGGTGGCGCGATTGATGCAGCAGCTGTCGCATCAGCGGCATGGCGACGACCTGCGCGCCTGCACCGCCTTGCACCGCCAATGCCGCCATCTCATTTGCAAAGCACCTACAACAGCAGCCGCTGGAGCCAGAAAGACAGCCATTCATGCCAGAAAAGCAGCCCGTAGAGCATCAGAAGCAGCAGGGGAAGCCACATGCTTCCTCTTCTTCCTCTGTCTGGACTTTCTCGATTTCCTCCTCTGCTACGTCTTCTGGTTTCTTGATCGCTTGGCTGGCGAAAACGCTCCCCCCTGCTACTGCAACCGCAGGAGGAGCAGTATCAGCAGCGCTAGCAGCAATGGAAGATCAAATTCTGGCGAAGCTGGTTCGGATCGTTCCGGTGCAAACGCTGCTGGAAGCGTCTTCTCGTCCGGAGCTATGCCGAACCTGATCCCCCCTGGCATCGCCCCGGACCTGTTTTATCGCAAGTGGCGGGTTCCAATCAACCTGGGGTTGCTTCAAACGGCGAGGTTTGCTCTGCCGTTCTCCCTAGACTGGAGGACGAAGCGGGTTCTGCAGTGGTGCGGTGTGCAGCAGGTTGAGCCGTGGTGTGGCGAACGGCAGGTTGGGGAGTGGGCTGGGGCGAAGAAGAGTAGTACGCTGGGAGGACGGAAGGAAGAGGAGGTGGGGGAGGAGGAAAGGGACGAGGAGGACCCGAGACGTCTTTTGAACGGTTGTGGTTCCTTTCGAGAAGATAAGGTCGTGGATATTGCTCCTGGTGACATTGCTGCTGTTGCTGCTGGAGCGGCTGGTGCTGCTGGCATTGGTGCTGCCGACGATTGCAGCAGCAGGGACTGCCATCCTCTCTGGTCTCCCACGGACGCCTTGACGCATGGCTCCATTCGCCATCCGCACTTCTCCTTCCCTCACCACCACCAGCAGCGCCATCCGCTCCTCTCTCCCTGCCACGTGTCAACCGCTGATAGGCCGCGCATGCATGAGGTTGGTGGTATCCGCTCTGAAGCTGTACCTGGACTTCGTGATGTTACAAACATCATCGCAGATGCTGACAGGAAAGATGCAAGTGATGCAGCAGTTGCTGCAGGTTTGCATGTGATGAAGGACGGACCGTGAGCAGCAGGAATAGCAGTGAGGTCAGTAGCAGCAGCGGCAGCAGTGACAGTGGCTGCACCAGTGGGTATTGGAGTTCGCTTTGGTATGGTTGGGTCTAGTGCGGCTGGGTCTGGTGAAGCTGGGTCCGGCAGGGTGGGAGGCAGATGGACGGACTGTTACTGCCAGGAGTGCAGTGATGCTTATGAAAGGCAGGCGCTACATTTCACCGTGGTGGGAGGGAGTGCGGTGGGAGGGAGTGTGGTGGGAGGGGGTGTGGTGGGCGGGGGTGTGGTGGGAGGGGATGTGGTCAGAAGTGCTGTGGTTGGAGAAGAGAAGCCTACAGTTCCCAGCAGCAGCAGCAGCAGCAGCAGCAGCAGCAGCAGCAGCACCGCATCGCTTCTCTTGGATGCTGAATGCAAGGAGAAACCCACAGTACTCCTGCTGCATGGCTACTTTGCTGTCTCCTCCTTTTGGACCGACACCGCTGTGCCGTTTCTTCCCAGGAGCTTCCTGGAGGGCAGGAGGGTGGTGGCGGTTGACCTGCTGGGGTGGGGCAAGAGCCCCAAGCCGAGGGACTGTGACTATAGCGTTGAGGAGCACGTGAGGTGAGAGTTGGTGTGACTATAGCGAATGCAAAGTTGTTGACCTGCTGGCCCGACTTCCACCTTCCAAATCATGGCCCACCCCAGCATGGGGTGCTTGATAGCTGCACCATGCAGTCTCTACCATAAGTATCCGCTCCCTCGTTTCTCTTTCACCCATTCCCCTTTCTCCCTTACCTCTTGGATAGAGCGCACGGTGCTGGCTCCGCACAACACATCCGCCTTCCACGTCGTGGGCCACAGCATGGGCTGCCTGATAGCAGCGGTTCTGGCTGCTCCCTCTTCATTCCGCCCATTCTCCCATTCTCCCCACATTTTCCCTGGGCCCCCCTCCCCCATCCTCGTCCTCCCCACCAACTGGATAGAGCGCACGGTGCTCGCCCCACTCAGCATCTCCACCTTTCACATCGTGGGCCACAGCATGGGGGGCTTGATCGGTGAGGTTCTGGCTGCTCGCAACCGAGACAGGGTGGTGTCTCTCTGCATCTACTCGCCTGTGAGTAACCCCAGGTCACTGTATTCATGTAGTAGGTTGGCAAGAGATTAGTGCCACAGCGTGGGGTGCCTTATGGCAGCGGTTCTGGCTGCTCACAACTGAGACAGTGTGGTGTCTCTCTGCCTCTACTCACCCGTGCGTAAACCTCTCTCATTATTGGAGTAGCAGGTTGCCATGACTCAAGGTTGGTGCCACAGCATTCTGTTCTCTACGCCTTTCTTTCCCCACCTCATCCCATGCCATCCCAGCCGTTCATCCCCCACCGCCCAGGCCGAACACCAGCAGAGGAGTTTTACCGCCTGGTCACCCCGCGCTGCCTCTCCTCTGCACTGCTCCTAGGCATCAGCATCACGTCGTGGTTCGAGCACGTAGGGGGGGAGAGAGAGGGGTGCAGGGTTCAGGGTTCACGCGAATTTTTTACGTCAAATCTCTCTATCCTCTTGTTTCCTCTCTATCCTCTGTCTTCCCTTCCCCAGCCCTACATCTCTCCCCGACCAGGCCTCACACCAGCAGAGGAGTTTTTCCAGCTAGTCTCCCCGCGATGCTTCTCCCCTGCAGTGCTAATGTTCTCCAGCACGTGCGCGTGGTGCGAGCACGTGGGCCGAGTCATCTGTGTCTTGTTTTCGCAATTTCATTTGCTCACCGACGCCCTCGCTGCTCTCCTGCTGCCCCGTTTAGGCGCCAAGTGAGTGTGGGCTTGTGGTTGGGGAAGCCTGAGTGAGTGAGAGAATTTGAGTGGTTTGGGTGGTTTGAGTGGTTTGAGTGGTTTCTTATGCTCCTTACTTTCTTCTCTTATGCTGGTCCCGACGCTCCCTCCCTATGATTTGTGCTCACTCTGTCCTTCATGCGTTATTTCACCCGTCACACACACCACACTGTGGCACTGCAAATGCTCCTTTCCCTTACACTCCCTTCTCTCATTCTAGTCCCGACGCTCCCTCCCTATGCTTCAGGATCCCACCCTCCTTCACGCGGGATTCCACCCGTCCCACACAACACACCACACTGCCTAACACTGTTTCTTCAGCACCATCTGCTTCCCCTCACTCCTGCCACTTTCCCCTCCCTCCTCTTCCTCTCCCTACGGCAGGCTCCCACCTTCCTACGTGCGGGATGTAACCCGTCACACACATCACACCGCCTGGCACTGCTTCTTCAACACTAGATGTGTCGGCACCAACTTCTTGGAACCTTCCCTGCACCTACTGCACAACCAGAGCCCAACAAACGCCCTTCTTGTAACCGGCCATACCTGTATCGGGACCGGGTCGGTGAGTGTTGTAGCAGAGAGCGGCGAGTTATTCAACAGAAGCGTTCCTGTGACGATAGTGCATGGTGACAAAGACAAGGTGTGCCCGATCGACTCAAGCAGGGGGTTGGCTCGGCGGCATCCGAACGTGCAGCTGTTGGAGGTTCGGGGAGAGAACCACATTACAGTGGTGCTGGGTAGGGAGAAAGAAGCTGCTCAACAGATTGTGGAGTTTGTTGAAGAAGCAGAGGCTGCAAGCATGGGTGCATGAATGTGTTATTATTTTTGTGGCTTTACGCCGCATTGGCTTCCTTTAGTAGGAAGCATTTGATTCTTCGTACTGCATTCACTTCAGCAAGCAAAACTTCTGTGACAGAACTTTGTACTTCCTTAGCATGAACGTTTCTTTGTGACCACGTGGAAACACTATCTATTAATATGAAGTTCTTCTTAGGGAACGTTCCTGTGGAGACACTTGTGTCTCAACCCCCGATTTCCTGAGTCACGCCTTTGAAATTTCCCAATGTCACGTCACAAACATCGAATGTACCACGACGTATGGCGACAGATTGGCAGGGACAGTTGGACACTTTTCACTGGCTGCGATAAATAAGAAATCTACAAAGACATGCATTTGATTGGGTGACAGTACACCCGTTTTTTCAACCTCCAGGCAGGGGCGTGGGTTCGATGCGCGGGACTTCTTTTCCCTCGCGAGATTGGCATTTTCGGGTGTCCAGGTGCATGAGTCCGTGTCGACATTTCGAGTCGCGTGCGTTTTTTTTTACAATGACAGGTCGTTTCGCAATTCGTCAGCGACGTCAGCGCATTTCACGTTGACCAATAAAAAATACAGTGAAAGTCGTAGAGAGGAGACACCATACAGTACATGTTGTTTTTGGGTGTCACAAAGTGTTTGAGACACAAGTGTCTCCACAGGAACGTTCCCTTAGTGGTTCTCCTTAGCATCGACGCGTGGCGCTGCCCGTAGTGATGTGGCGATGCGTGGCGCTGCCCATAGTGACGTGGAGATGCGTGACGCACCCCGTAATGACGCGGCTATGCGTAACGGACCCCGTAGTGACGTGGCGATGCGTGACGCACCCCATAGTGACGTGGCGATGCGTGATGCACCACGTAGTGACGTTGCTATGCGTAACGCACCCCGTAGTGACGTGACGATGAGTGACGCACCCCGTAGTGACGTGGCAAAGCGTGACACACACCCTAGTGACGGGGCGACGCGTGGCGCTGCCCATAGTTGTCAGAATGTTATATTTGTCTAGCCTGCAGTGGGGTACTCTATAGCGAGTACAGCCCAATTCTAGGGTTCCTATTTGTACTCAACTGCCTGCTAGTCAAAATCCTCTTTCTGCTGCTAAACTTTCTACTCGTTCTCTTGACATGTTATCAGAGCAGGTCGACCCTCCTGGGTCGATCCTGTGGGTGGGCCCGCCACCTAACTGCTTCCGCTGCAGTTCTTCTTCTCGTGCGCCTCGGACGCGCGCCTTCTTCTTCTTGCCGTGCGCTCGGGGGCGCGGCGGTTTTCTGCCCGCCGTGCGCCCCGAGGCGCGCGGCGGTTTCCCACCGTCGAAGTGCCCCCCGTCGCCCATCGAAGCGCCCTCCCCCCGTCGCCCGTCGAAGCGCCCCCGTCGCCCGTCGGAGCGCCCCCCGTCGCCCGTCAAAACCCCCCCGTCGCCCGTCGAAGCGCCCCTGGGACCCGCGCGCAGCCCGTACGGGCTGCGCCAGGCCCGCGCGCGGCTCGTACGGGCTGCGCCAGGCCCGCGCGCGGCCCGTACAGCCCGCGCGCGGCCCGTACGGGCTGCGCCAGGCCCGCGCGCGACCCGGGCAGCCCGCGCGCGCCTCGTTCCGCCTGCGGCAGGCCCGTGCGCGCCTCTCGCCGTCCCCCGCGCTCCTGCCCCTCTCCCACTCGTTTTAGGGTTTGGGGATGTGGAATGTGGGGGTGGCGGTTGTGGGGGTGCCCGTTGTGTGCGCCTTCTCCTACTCCTCCTCCTCCTCCGTCTCCCGCTGCTGCAGCTGCCGCTCAGGGGGGTGTGTGTGTGGGGAGCCAACGGAGTGGTGCTAAGGGGGTGAAGGGGGAGTGGAGCTAGGGGTGAAGCAGTGGGTGTGTGTCAGGGGGAGTGGGATAGTTTGGGGAGGTTGAAGGGGGTGGCCGCCGTGAAGCCAGCAGCTCCAGTCGCCCGTGAGACCGTTGCGCCAGTCGCCCGTGAGCCCGTTGCGCCAGTCGCCCGTGAGCCCGTTGCTCCAGTCGCCCGTGAGTCCGTTGCTCGTCTGCCGCTACTTTCAGCCGCGGAGCCAGTTACTCCGTGTGCCAGTTGCTCCAGTTGCCAGTGTGCCAGTTGCTCCAGTTGCCCGTGTGCCAGTTGCTCCAGTTGTGCCGTGTGCCAGCGGCTTCAGCTGCCGCCCACTACCTCCTCTCCTCTCATAGTCTCTTTCCTCCTCCTCACTTGCCCGTTGTGACCACCACTAGCTTTGCTCATAATTGTGAACTTTAAACTATTGCTTTTGAACTTGTGCTCAGACTGTGTGGTGACATTGTGATCCACCCTGAGCTTGTACTGCTTTGCTTGCTCTGCTGATTACACCCCACTTTGGCTATGGGGGTGTGTCAGAATGTTATATTTGTCTAGCCTGCAGTGGGGTACTCTATAGCGAGTACAGCCCAATTCTAGGGTTCCTATTTGTACTCAACTGCCTGCTAGTCAAAATCCTCTTTCTGCTGCTAAACTTTCTACTCGTTCTCTTGACAATAGTGACGTGGCGATGCGTGACGCACCCCATAGTGACATGGCGACTGGTGGCGCAACCCGTAGTGACGTGGCGATGCGTGACGCAGCCCGTAGTGACGTGGCGATGCGTGGGGCAGCCCGTAGTGACGTGGCGATGCGTGATGCACCCCATAGTGACGTGGCGATGCGTGACGCACCCCCTAGTGACGTGGCGAAGCGTGACGCACCCCATAGTGACGTGGCGACGCATGACGCACCCCATAGTGACGTGGCAATGCGTGACGCACCCCGTAGTGACATGGCGACGCGTGGCACCGCCGTAGTGACGTGGCGATGCGTGGTGCTGCCCGTGGTGACGTGGCAACGCGTGGCGCTGCCCATGGTGACGTGGCAATGCGTGACGCACTCGGTAGTGACGTGGCGATGCATGACGCACCCCATAGTGACGTGGCAATGCGTGACGCACCCCGTAGTGACGTGGCGATGCGTGACGCACCTCGTGGTGACGTGGCGATGCGTGACGCACCTCGTAATTTGGTTGGGACCACCCACAGGATCGACCCAGGAGTATCGACCTGCTCTGATAGCATGTCAGAAACTATACGCAGAAACGAGAAACAGGAAAGGGAGTTTCCATTAGGAGACAGTTGAGTATATATAGCAAACCCTAATATGGGCTATACTCGCTATAGAGTTCCCCACTACAGGCTAGACAAATATCACATTCTGACAAATCCTACTCTTTCCAACGCGACCCGCTGTTCCCTCCTGCTGCGCCGTTGCATTCGCCGCGGCTCACGCAATACGCGGCCCGTCGGCCTCGCGTGACGTCGTGTGCACAGACTGAGAATGAGGGTGTAGATGCGATTTGGCATCTTGACCCCCTTCGTGCCGTGGTTGTCGATTTCTGCTCAACATGGGCGTTGACTAGACAGGATGCCCAACCCCTGCACGCGAATTTGCCCTGCCCACGATGGAAACTCTGCACCCGTGTATTAGGGTACCAGCCAGTTGCACCCCATTTACAAGCACCTCGAGCAATACGAACCACAAAATCCGAAGTTTGACACAAGAGACCAAAGTCAGTCGGTCAACAACGAGTCATAAAATCTTTTAAAAGCCCGTTTTGGTAAGTGCGAATTGACGAAAGCCTAATAGCGAGTTCAAAGTACTGCATCCCTCAACGTCGGTGAATTTCAACCATCGGATCTACGGTTCCAACCGTCAGGATTCGCCGACGTACTTCGACGTCGAGTTGGGGCATTACTTTGAACACGCTTTAACTAATGCAAGAATCATCACAAGGCAACCTTGGGTTAGTCAAACGGGCATCTTGTGTATGCAAACCCCTGTCATTTTGCACAGCTGTCGAATCCGATTGTCCAACTGTCGAAGATACCACCACCTGTATCAAGGAAGGATCCTGCCTGATGCGGCCTGATGCGCCTGCACAACAAGGCCTGAAGAGAACACCAGTGCTGATCACGGCGATTGGAATGTCGCATAGGGTTTCCGTTACGATCGCGCCATGTGTTGGCAGAATTGTCGTGTAGCAGAATTTCAGCACGTTTCTCGTCAGGTCTAACAATTCGCGACCCCGATCAGCAGGGGTTTCTCTGCCGTCCCACACTTTCCTTGGGGTTTCTCCTTTTCTTGGGGTTTCTCTTCGTTTCTTTGCTTTCCAGACGTCGAGGTGTACAGACGAATGTTCCCAGGCTGTCTGAAATCCGTATGTGGCTGTCGCGGCAGCAAGTGATGCGAAATCTCGATTGGTGCCGAGCCTTCCTCCGAAGCTGGGAGGGTATCAGTGAGGTAACCCAATGAACTGATCGGCCTCCTGATTGGTCGATTGTATATCCTACGAGAGTTGCTGAACGTTGCAACTGCTCTAAGGTCAGCTCGGGGGCACTTGCTGGGAAGGTCTGGGTTTACCCCGCGAGGGTGACCTGGGGTTTCCCACATTCTGAAAGTGATTCTGGCATTCTGAATTTTGAGAAGATCTCTCACGCCCAGCGACGCTGCTCCCGCGTCTCGTTTTTCTTGCAGATCTGGTCACCAGATCTGAACGGTTCAGCAGCTCGAATCACTCTAGCCATGGCTGCTGTTGCTGACAAAATCGGTAGCGGTCTCTGACTAGCCGCACCAGTGAATGAGTGCCCACAGCAACTGGTTGCTCGCGCGATGTTGCGACCGCTGTTGGCGTAAGTTCTTAGCAGCACCTCCCGAGGCTCGGGACCGCTCACACGCTACGCGTTAGGTCGCCATGCGACTGCAGGTGGCGCGATTGATGCAGCAACTGTCGCATCAGCGGCATGGCGACGACCTGCGCGCCTGCACCGCCTTGCACCGCCCATGCCGCCATCTCATATGCAAAGCACCTGCAACAGCAGCCGCTGGAGCCAGAAAAACAGCCATTCATGCCAGAAAAGCAGCCCGTAGAGCATCAGAAGCAGCAGGAGAAGCCGCATGCTTCCTCTTCTACCTCTGCCTGGACTTTCTCGATTTCCTCCTCTGCTATGTCTTCTGGTTTCTTGATCGCTTGGCTGGCGAGAACGCTCCCCCCTGCTACTGCAACCGCAGGAGGAGCAGTACCAGCAGCGGTAGCAGCAATGGAAGATCAAATTCTGGCGAAGCTGGTTCGGATCGTTCCGGTGCAAACGCTGCTGGAAGCGTCTTCTCGTCCGGAGCTATGCCGAACCTGATCCCCCCCGGCATCGCCCCGGACCTGTTTTTTCGCAAGTGGCGGGTTCCAATCAACCTGGGGTTGCTTCAAACGGCGAGGGTTGCGCTGCCGTTCTCCTTGGACTGGAGGACGAAGCGGGTTCTGCAGTGGTGCGGTGTGCAGCAGATTGATCAGTGGTGTGGCGAACGGCAGGTTGGGGAGTGGGCTGGGGCGAAGCAGAGTAGTACGCTGGGAGGACGGAAGGAAGAGGAGGTGGGGGAGGAGGAAAGGGACGAGGGTTCCTTTCGAGAAGATAAGGTCGTGGATATTGCTCCTGGTGACATTGCTGCTGCTGCTGGAGCGGCTGGTGCTGCTGGCATTGGTGCTGCCGATGGTTGCTGCAGCAGGGCCTGCCATCCTCTCTGGTCTCCCCCGGACGCCTTGACGCATGGCTCCATTCGCCATCCGCACTTCTCATTCCCGCACCGCCACCAGCAGCACCATCATCTCCTCTCTACGTGCCACGTGTCAACCGCTGATAGGCCCCGCATGCATGAGGTTGCTGGTAACCGCTCTGAAGCTGTACCTGGACTTCGTGATGTTACAAACCTCATCGCAGATGCTGACAGGAAAGATGCAAGTGATGCAGCAGTTGCTGCAGATTTGCACGTGAAGGACGGACTGAGAGCAGCAGGAATAGCAGTGAGATCAGTAGCAGCAGCGGCAGCAGTGACAGTGGCTGCACCAGTGGGTATTAAGGTTCGCTTTGGTATGGTTGGGTCTAGTGCGGTTGGTTCTGGTGAAGCTGGGTCCGGCAGGGTGGGAGGCAGATGGACGGACTGTTACTGCCAGGAGTGCAGTGATGCTTATGAAAGGCAGGCGCTACATTTCACCGTGGTGGGAGGGAGTGCGGTAGGAGGGAGTGTGGTGGGAGAGGGTGTGGTGGGCGGGGGTGAGGTGGGAGGGGATGTGGTTAGAAGTGCTGTGGTTGGAGAAGAGAAGCCTACAGTTCCCAGCAGCAGCAGCAGCAGCAGCAGCAGCAGCAGCAGCACCAGCACCTGCATCCCTTCTCCTGGATGCTGAATGCAAGGAGAAACCCGCAGTACTCCTGCTGCATGGCTTCCTTGCTGCTTCCTCCTTTTGGACCGACACCGCTGTGCCGTTTCTTCCCAAGAGCTTCCTGGAGGGCAGGAGGGTGGTGGCAGTGGACCTGCTGGGGTGGGGCAAGAGCCCCAAACCCAGGGATTGTGATTATAGTGTGGAGGAGCACGCGAGGTAAGAATTAATGTGACTATAGCGAATGTGGAGTTTCCCTATACCAAAGGGTGGTGGCAGTGGACCTGCTGGGGTGGGGCAAGAGCCCCAAGCCCAGGGATTGTGATTATAGTGTGGAGGAGCACGCGAGGTAAGAATTAATGTGACTATAGCGAATGTGGAGTTTCCCTATACCAAAGGGTGGTGGCGGTGGACCTGCTGGGGTGGGGCAAGAGCCCCAAGCCCAGGGAGTGTGACTATAGCATTGAGGAGCACGTGAGGTAAGCCCTTTTCTTTCACCCATTCCCCTTTCTCCCTTACCTCTTGGATAGAGCGCACGGTGCTGGCTCCGCTCAACGTTTCCACCTTCCACGTCGTGGGCCACAGCATGGGCTGCCTGATAGCAGCGGTTCTGGCTGCTCCCTCTTCATTCCGCCCATTCTCCCATTCTCCCCACATTTTCCCTGGCCCCCCTCCCCCATCCTCGTCCTCCCCACCAGCTGCATAGAGCGCACGGTGCTCGCCCCACTCAGCATCTCCACCTTTCACATCGTGGGCCACAGCATGGGGGGCTTGATCGGTGCGGTTCTGGCTGCTCGCAACCGAGACAGGGTGGTGTCTCTCTGCATCTACTCGCCTGTGAGTAACCCCAGGTCACTGTATTCATGTAGTAGGTTGGCAAGAGATTAGGGCCACAGCATGGGGTGCCTGATGGCAGCGGTTCCTGGCTGCTCACAACTGAGACAGTGTGGTGTCTCTCTGCCTCTACTCACCCGTGTGGTGTCTCTCTGCCTCTACTCACCCGTGTGGTGTCTCTCTTCCTCTACTCACCCGTGTGGTCTCTCTCTGCCTCTACTCACAGCAGGGGTCAGGGTTCACGCGATTTTTTTACGTCAAATCTCTCTATCCTCTCGTTTCCTCTCTATCCTCTGTCTTCCCTTCCCCAGCCCTACATCTCTCCCCGACCAGGCCTCACACCAGCAGAGGAGTTTTTCCAGCTAGCCACCCCGCGATGCTTCTCCCCTGCAGTGCTAATGTTCCCCAGCACGTGCGGGTGGTTCGAGCACGTGGGCCGAGTCATCTGCGTCTTGTTTTCGCAATTTCATTGGCTCACCGACGCCCTCGCTGCTCTCCTGCTGCCCCGCTTAGGCGCCAAGTGAGTGTGGGTTGTGGTTGGGGAAGCCTGAGTGAGTGAGAGAATTTGAGTGGTTTGGGTGGTTTGAGTGGTTTGAGTGGTTTCTAATGCTCCTTACTTTCTTCTCGCATGCTGGTCCCGACGCTCCCTCCCTATGATTCGTGCTCACTCTGTCCTTCATGCGTTATTTCACCCGTCACACACACCACACTGTGGCACTGCAAATGCTCCTTTCCCTCACACTCCCGTCTCTCATGCTAGTCCCGACGCTCCCTCCCTATGTTTCAGGATCCCACCCTCCTTCACGCGGGATTCCACCCATCCCACACAACACACCACACTGCCTGGCACTGTTTCTTCAGCACCATCTGCTTCCAATCACTCCTGCCACTTTCCCCTCCCTCCTCTTCCTCTCCCTACGGCAGACTCCCACCCTCCTACGTGCGGGATTTCACCCGTCACACACATCACACCGCCTGGCACTGCTTCTTCAACACCATCTGTGCCGGCACCAACTTCCTGGAGCCTTCCCTGCACCTACTGCACAACCAAAGCCCCACAAGCGTCCTTCCTGTAACCAGCCATACCTGTATCGGGACCGAATCAGTGAGTGCTGTAGCAGAGAGCGGCGAGTTATTCAACAGAAGCGTTCCAGTGACGATAGTGCATGGTGACAAAGACAACGTGTGCCCGATTGACTCAAGCAGGGGGTTGGCTCGGCGGCATCCGAACGTGCAGCTGTTGGAGGTTCGGGGAGAGGACCACATTACAGTGGTGGCGGCTAGGGAGAAAGAAGCTGCTCAACAGATTGTGGAGTTTGTTGAAGAAGCAGAGGCTGCAAGCATGGATGCATGAACGTGTTCTTATTTTGTGGCTTTACGCCGCATTGGCTGCCTTCTGTAGGAAGCATTTGATTCTTCGTACTGCATTCACTTCAGCAAGCAAAGCTTCTGTGACAGAAATTTGTACTTCCTTAGCATGAACTTTTCTTTGTGAATGTGAAAACACTATCTATTAATATGAGGTTCTTCTTAGTGGTTCTTAGCATCGACGCGTGGCGCTGCCCGTAGTGACATGGCGACGCGTGGCGCTGCCCATAGTGACGTGGAGATGCGTGACGCACCACGCAGTGACGTGGCTATGCGTAACGCACCCCGTAGTGACGTGGCGATGAGTGACGCACCCCGTAGTGACGTGGCGAAGCGTGACACACACCCTAGTGATGGGGCGACGCGTGGCGCTGCCCATAGTGACGTGGCGTTGCGTGACGCACCTCATAGTGACGTGGCGACGCGTGGCGCAACCCGTAGTGACGTGGCGATGCGTGACGCAGCCCGTAGTGACGTGGCGATGCGAGGGGCAGCCCGTGGTGACGTGGCGATGCGTGACGCACCCCATATTGATGTGGCAAAGCGTGACACACACCCTAGTGACGGGGCGACGCGTGGCGCTGCCCATAGTGATGTGGCGATGCGTGACGCACCCAATAGTGACGTGGCGACGCGTGGCTCAACCCGTAGTGACGTGGCGATGCGTGACGCAGCCCGTAGTGACGTGGCGATGCGTGGGGCAGCCCGTAATGACGTGGCGATGCGTGACGCACCCCATAGTGACGTGGCAATGCGTGACGCACCCCCTAGTGACGTGGCGAAGCGTGACGCACCCCATAGTGACGTGGCGACGCATGATGCACCCCATAGTGACGTGGCAATGCGTGACGCACCCCGTAGTGACATGGCGACGCGTGGCATCGCCCGTAGTGACGTGGCAATGCGTGGTGCTGCCCGTGGTGACGTGGCAACGCGTGGCGCTGCCCATGGTGACGTGGCAACGCGTGACGCACCCAGTAGTGACGTGGCGATGCATGACGCACCCCATAGTGACGTGGCAATGCGTGACGCACCCCGTAGTGACGTGGTGATGCGTGACGCACCTCGTGGTGACGTGGCGATGCGTGACACACCTCGTGGTGACGTGGCGATGCGTGACGCACCCCGTGGTGACATGGCGATGCGTGACGCACCTCGTGGTGACATGGCGATGCGTGATGCACCCCGTGGTGACGTGGCGATGCGTGACGCACCTCGTGGTGACGTGGCGATGCGTGACGCACCCCGTGGTGACATGGCGATGCGTGACGCACCCCGTGGTGACATGGCGTTGCGTGATGCACCTCGAAGTGACGTGGCGATGCGTCACGCACCCCGTAGTGATGTGGCAATGCGTGATGCACCGCGTAGTGACGTGGCGATGCGTGTCGCACCCCGTGGTGACGTGGCGTGCTCGTTGCAGGCCAGCAACTTGATCGTCGCTATGTTTATTTCACGCGGTATCATAAGTTCCTGATGCTTCTTAAACGGTTTTGTGCGTTAGAGAAGGGAAGTTGTTTACCCGAAAGCCAGCAAGTGTGCCCCAGCCCCACCCACCTGCAAGTGTGTCACCTGCTCTGAAGTGGACCCGACTGGACTAAACCGAACCGAAAACAAACCATTACGACCCGTGCCAACTGACCGAGGCACAAATGTGGTTCCTTCCCTTTCTCCCATTTTGTTGATCATCCACTCATCAGTTCTCCCAGCGTCTTACCTCAGCATTGCCAGCAAGCCGACGTATAGTTTCCGGCTATAAGCAGGAGCAACATAGCTCGCATTTCCTTCGTGTTCGAAGGATCCCACATGGACGTGATTGGCAGACAGTGCTGACGTTTTCTGTGAACTCTTCGTTGTGGTTAGGCTTTAGACGGTTTCAGTTTAAGACCTGACTGACGACGATCGGCGACTGACGAACGACGCTCCGCATTGGACGGAACAAACTGTCCACTTGATAGTACTGGCGACTGACCATCGGCGATGTTCCTTTAGCTTCCCGACGTTTTTCTCCAATCGCGCGGTTCTGGTTACCACATCAATGATTTAGGGGCTCGCTTCGTGGCGTCGTAAAATCCAAACGCATTTCCTTCATTTTGAAAAAAACGGAGAATTTTATCCTCAAGCCATGGCCGCCTCTTTGCACCTTCATGCCAAATCATGCATTCTCACCCGCTCCTTCCGAAATGCTTTCCACCTCCTACTCCTCCTCCTCCTACTGCCGCCACCGTTGCCGTCCCCCATGTCAATCATGTTAGAAACTATAGGCAGAAACAAGAAACAGGAAAGAGAGGTTCCACTAGCAGGCAGCAAACCCTAATTTGGCTATACTTGCTATAGAGCAGCCCACTGCAGGCTAGACAAATATCACATTCTGACACACCCCCATGGTCAAAGTGGGGTATAATCAGTACAGCAAGCAACTATAGAGCAGATTCACAAGTATAAGCAAAGCTAGAGGCAGTCACAGAGGGCAAGTGAGGAGGAGGAGAGACTGTGAGAGGAGTGGAGATAGAAGGCGACGGGTGAAGCCGCAGTCACACGGGCAACAGGGCGCGGGGATGGCACGCGGCTCCCCAAGGCGCTGCGACAGGGCAGCGGGGGGGCCGCGTGCGGCTCCCCAGGGCGCCGCGACGGGGCAGCGGGGGGCCGCGCGCGGCTCCCCAAGGCGTCGCGACAGGGCAGCGGGGGTCGCGCGTGGCTCCCCAGGGCGCCGCGACGGGGCAGCGGGGGGCCGCGAGCAGCTCCCCAGGGCGTCGCGACGAGTCTGCGGGGGCCGCGCGCGGCTCCCCAGAGCGCCACGACGGGGCAGCGGGGACGACGCGCGGGCCTGCGGGGCGACGCGACGGGCTCCCGGGGGGTGACGCGACCGTCGACGGGGGGCGACGCGCGGATCGATGGGGCAGAAAACCGCCGCGCGCTCGGGGCGCACGGCGGGAAGAAAAAACGCCGCGTGCCCTGAGCGCGTGGCAGGCAGCAAACATCGCACGCCCAGGGCGTCCGATAGGCAGGACAGTATTGGGTGGGACCACCCACAGGATCGACCCAGAAGGGTCGACCTGCTCTGATAGCATGTCAGAAACTATAGGCAGGAACGAGAAACAGGAAAGAGAGTTTCCACTAGCAGGCAGTTGAGTACATACAGCAAACCTTAATTTGGGCTATACTCGCTATAGAGTACCCCACTGCAGGCTAGACAAATATCACATTCTGACAAATCCTGCTCTTCCCAACGTGACCCGCCGTTCCCTCCTGCTGCGCCGCCGCCTTCGCCGCGGCTCACGCAATCCGCGGTTCGTCGGCCTCGCGTGACGTCGACCAGCCGTCGGCGCAGACCTACATGGCCTACAGGATAGCAGCCAATCAGGCTCCTCGTCGGCGCGTGCTTCTGCCGCAAGAGTCGCCTGATGAGTTGGTTTCAGGCATGCAGCTTCACGGGGACGCTGAAGGCTTGAAGCCGCGTTCTTCTAAAAGTAAGGCAGCAGCTGTTGGAACGGCAACAGCTGACCAGGCTTCTCGTCGTCGCGTGCTGCTGCCACAGGAATTGCCCAGGGTGTTCGAATCGGGCATGCAGCTGCCTGTCAATCTGCCCAACCGTGACGGCATTGGGCCGTAAAACTTGTTTTCGCTCAAATCGAGATGGTTTAGCTTCACAACACCATCAAGCCCAGAAGGCAGGGTTCCATTGAAACGATTCTTCGCGAGGTCAAGATGCTCAAGCGAGTTCTTCGGGTAACCCAATCTCCATCTCGTGATTGTCCCGTTGAAAGAGTTGCAACAAAGATCCAACCTTCACAGAGCAGACATGCAAAAAATTGCAGGGTGGACACCACCAGACATGTAGTTACAACTCACCTAAACCCTCTAAGATAGGTGAGCCGGTTGAGGTTACTCAGTTGCTTCGGTATGTAGCCGTTGAGGTTGTTGAAGCTTAAATCCAGCCGTTGCAGACGGAACGAACGAGAAATCGACGATGGAATCGGATTGTAGTGCCAGTTGTATGATAGGTCCAGATGCCTAAGCGCCGTTGAAAACGCTACCGAACCGGTCGGAAGAGCACCATACAAATCTGCTCCGCAAAAATCCATCACCGAAAGCGACTTCAGCGCGAAAATCGATGCAGGAATGCTTCCCAAAAGTTGTCGATTTTCGCTCATGTTCTCCTGCCGCAGATTCGTCAACAGCACGAGAACCGCCGGCAGGGACCCCACCAAGTCGTTGCACGAAAAATCAACATGAGTGAGATGCACGAGACTCTTAATGTCGGTCGAAATGGAGCCAGTGAGGAGATTCGGGTAGGCGGAGCACGGGGAGAAAGTCGAGCGACGTGACGAATTCGTTGGCGTCGCAGTCGATGCCGGAGACGCCGCACGCTCGCTGGAGCGCCCTGAATGGGATTGGTGACGCCCGCCACTAGGAGGAACCTTCGCACGTCGTCCACCTCAGTTGCTCGGTGGAGAATCTTGGCGGCGCCTGCTTGCGGACGCGTGGTGTCGGCTTGCACAAGGGCGGTGCCGGCTTGTTGAAGGGTGGTGGCGACTTGCGGAAGAACCTCGCCGGTTGCTTGGGGAAAGAGGTGGCGTGCAGAGAGGGTTGAGGGAGGGAAGAGGAAAGACAGGAGGAGGAGGAGGAGGAGGAGGAGGAGGAGGAGGAGGAGGAGGAGGAGGAGGAGGAGGAGGAGGAGGAGAGGAGGAGGAGGAGGAGGAGGAGGAGGAGCAGGAGGAGGAGGAGGAGGAGGAGGAGGAGGAGGAGGAGGAGGAGGAGGAGGAGGAGGAGGAGGAGGAGGAGGAGGAGGAGGAGGAGGCGCGTTGGGGTTGTGGAACTCAATTAGAATGCTTCAGAAGCAACCATGGAAAGCAATTTCGGATAATAGTTTCTCGTGCGTTGCGTTGGAAATTAAGCGAGGGAAAAAGGCTGATGGGAAAAAAAGGCTGATGGGATTGAACAACAGATAATTCACCTTATTAGCGTAATAAATTATTGCTCGTAATAGTTGCTTTCTTCCAGTTGAACTCCGGTAAGCAATTGTGAGTCACGTATTAGATATTCATTATTCCTCGTTCTGGTTGATAGTTGATGGCATTCTGCGACTAGTAACGGGTTCTTCTAAATGTACGGCAAAGCTGTAGGTTCGGTGGGGCATAGGCGTCGGAAACGCCATGGTGGAGAGCAGGCCTGACGATTGACGGGCATATGCCCTTAATGCCCTGACATTAAGGGCTAGTTTCGCTCCACCTCCAATGCGTCAAGTTCTGAAATCGCACCCCACCCGTGCCACTAAGTGCCGCAATCGAACCTTCCCCGGATGCGTTAAGGGACGAAACCAGGCCTTCCCCTGTATCTAAGTGTAGGTTTCAGGTCGTAGGACCCCCCCCCCCTCAATGGTGCCCTACCCCCCCCCCCCCCCCCCCCCCCCCCCCCCCCCCTCTTTCTCCTCTGCCTAAACTAGAGAGCGCCAAGGGGATTTTTCCCTTAGCGTTTTGTAGCCGATCCTGTGTGTGTAGCGTGTCTCTGTCAGCCTAGGGGCACCCGCACATTCCCTTAGCGTCCAATACGAGCTGGCCGCAGGGTACAGCTGTGACACATGTGTGAATCTGGCTAAGTTCCTTGGCCACAGAGACATCCTACACACTAGACCAGAGCACGTCAAAGGAACTGACGCACTCCTTGACTTCTAATAAAAGTAGATAACTGCAAGTATCATAGCAAAATGTAGTGTAAGGACAAACTTCAAACATGCCCTGCTTTCAAGTTCTGACTTTGGGGTGTGCCCGTGACCCTTAAAGCCAGGGTCTCATGTACGGGTTGGCCGTGCAACTGCAAAGCACTTGGGCGAAAAGTGGGCTCTTTGGAGAGTCTCGATTTGTCAAAACTTTGGCCCCAAATTTGTAAACCAATCAAACAGGCCCGTTTTTCATCGACTGCAAAGCACTTGGTCACTTGAGACCCTGGCTTTAAGGGCGCCAAGATGCTCACCTACCCCGAACCAAGGGTTAGATTGGGAGGAGCTGGGGAGTGCAAGTTCGAGCCCCAGGAACTTCGACAGGCCTGGTGGAGAGCCTACCGTTGTTTGATTGTCACGAAACGGTGGTTATTGGTTCCCGCCATTCCCGTCAAGTATCCGCGACCCCCAAACTACAGTACCCACGAAGCAGCGAGCTGCGGGCCAACGTCATAGGCGCGCGAAACATTCGGGTAACCCTATGCAATTGTAGTTTCCGCCCGCGGCAGCCCTCGCAGATGGTTGCGGGGTGACTGAGGGGGGGAGGGGATAGGTGTAGCCGGGAGGAGGGGCGAAATGAAATAGTGGGGCTATGCTAGCGTGTGGGTAATTGTAGGTGACTGTCTGGTTAGTTGCTCGTCGGCAGTTCGTGGGATACTGTCGCTTGGAACCAATGGCAGGAGGGACATAGACCAATGTTTGCAGAGGTCGGCTCGACTATGGATGGTAGAATAAGATTGGTCAGTGTAACGCATCGCCCTCCTACCCTACGAGCATTTCCTAGCTAATGCATTACCTAAGCAAGGTATCGACTTACGGGAAGAAGAGGTTGGAGGAGATGAGTGGTGATTGGTCCACAATTGTGGACAACCACCCACTAAAAGACAAGCATGGTTGGAATCCAACCCAACCCCCACATTGGTTGGAATTCCAACCAATGACAATTGAACACTGTTGTTACCTGTTACAACATGTAACATAACCATCCTCATCACAATTCTATTGCTCTCATTGGTTGCTAATCCAACCATTATGCCACCTAAGCAAGCTTACCCCAAGGAGCTCCTTGCCCTTGTTGCCATGGAGGAAGTGGAGCTCCCCAAGGAGGTCAAGGAGGGGGTTTGAGCTAACCAAGCTCATTCTCAACTCCCAACTTCCAATTAACCAAAATGGAAATGGGATATTTTCTCTAAGTACAAGACTTTTCCCTCACAAGTGCTCTAAGCTCCAACTACCCCTTTGTTGAAGCTACTCTATCACTCTCCAAGCTTCAACTACTAAGTCTTCAAGACTCCAAGCTATCATAGGAGCTAGTTTTACCTTGTATGTGTTTTCATTTGTTGGCGTTTTATAAGCCTATTATAGACCCTTTTTTGGGCATTTGTTATAAGCCCGGGTCCTCATTGGTGATTTTAAGGGCGTTCTCTATAAGCCCGTGTTACATTTGGTATTCAGAGCTTTGGTTATCCTTGGCCCTGTGTGGCTAACTAGATTTGTTTTTTTAGGAGTTACTAGATCTTAGATCTAGAATAGCCTCAAGCTCTTTTAAGAAGAGTTGAGAGACTCCAAAGATTAAAAAAATCTTCTTCAAGGATCCCAAGACCTACTAAAAGCTCTTTGAGCTTTAAGAGAATTTATTCTCTGCCCACCTTCTTGGTGGATGACTCATAGCTATTTTTTAAATAGCAGAGTACAGATCTAAGAGATTTGTTAAAAGATTCCTCTTAACTTGCTCTCTGAGCAGTTTGAGGAACTTTCTCTATTTCCTTATTGGAATAGAAGACTTATTGAACAACTCTTTCTCTGTACCTTTCTCTTTGTGAGAATATTGATCTATATAAAAGATTTCTGGAAATTTTCAGAATCTCTTGCCTATCACCTTGAGTGATAGAGGATCCTTATTAAGATCATATTTCTTAACAAAGAAGAACCACTCTTCTTAAGCTCCATCTTAACAACTTCTCTATGGCTACTCCTCATGAGGAACCACCAAAGGAGGATGTCCCTATGACCTCAGTTGATGAACTGGAAGACTTTCCAGACCTTGACCTTAATGCTGAGGACGTCATAGGGGACCTTCCTGAGGAAGAGGAAGAAGCCCTGGGAAACCAGGAAGATAATGGAGAACAGGAAGGGCTTGATGACCTCAGCACGGATGACAACTTTCCTGAGGAGTTTGAAAAACTCCAATCCACGGTGGCCGAGCAAGCATCTTCCTTGCTGCAGCAGAAACGCAGGGTCAATGAGCTTGAGGCTCAAGTTGCTGACCAGAAAGTTTCAATTGAAACAATCCAGGCTCAGCTTACCAAAGTCACTGCCGAGGCTCGTCAGTTTAAGAGGTCTCTTGGCCTCAAGAACAACCAGATCAAGAGCCTTGAGGACACCCTGCAGCAGCTAAGTGCTACGTGCATCAGTCTCGAATTGACTTGCACGACGCTGGAAGCGCAGTATAGGGAGCTGAGGAGGAGGCCGATATATCGCCCCCCTCCTAGCAATGGGCAGCCTTCTACTTCTGCCGGAGCTCCAACAGAGCAGCCGATGTCGCCTGACGCACCCGCATTTGGGTCGCTCCCCACTGCCTTGCCGAACTTCATTCATGGCAAGACGAACGTGGAATCCTGGCTTCATCATGTGGAGGAATTCCTTTCCATCCACAACGTGCGCCCAGACGCACGCGTTATAGCTGCTACAGGTGCTCTCGATGAGACTGCTCGTAACACAGTCTACAGCACTATGAAGCTTGTCGGGGCAACGTCGGCCACCTTCGGGTGGTCCGATTTTTGCAGCGCGATGAAAGACGCTTTCCATGTGCAAAAGACTGACCTGGAGGTGCGCAGCTGCATCAAGAGCATGCAGTGTGGAACTCGCACTGTGCAGGAGTATGCCAACGAGTTCGAACGGACTCTGTTACTCCTGACAGTCGCTCTCACTGAGAACGAGGCAATGTCGTCGTTCTATGAAGGCTTACCCCAGTGGCTTCGCGAAAGGCTCGTGCTGGGCAGGAACCAGTACACTACGTACAAGGAGCTCAAGACAGCTGTCATTGATCTTGACGTGAGCGTCCGCACCTGCCTTAATGCCGCCAAGGGTCACTTGCAGAACGGCGGTGAAGGCCCTAGTGGCCAGAATAATGCGGCGCAGCCTTCCAATGGGAAAGGCCCTTGGAAGAAGAGGCCCTTCCAGCCGCATACCCAGCAGAATGGGTCACAACCTAAGAAACCCTTTCACAAGGGTGGCCAGCAGAGGAACGGAACTCCCTTTTGCAACTACTGCAAGAAGATGGGTCATACGAAGGGGCAGTGCCGTACGCTGAAAAGGGATGAGGATTCTGGCAAGCCGCAGCAGGCGAACAAGAAGGGAGATGGACCTTCAGGCTCGCGCCAGGATTTTCACAAGTCCAACTAGGGTGTGGGTACCTAGCTGGACAGGTAGATCGGGGTGATGAAGCTTACGTCCTTCGTGACGATGATCTATTAAAGCTAGAGAAACTTGCTGAGTGCAAAATCTCTTGTCTGTTTGCTTCTTCTTTGAGTGAAAATTCTGTTTTCCTACCTCGATTGCACCCACTTACACAACTATCTATCGAAAAACTGAGAGATAAGTTCTCTGTCATTTGCTGCAACGTAGATGCATTGCCCTCCGTAACGGAATTGGTGGGTCGTTGCACCCAGGAGCACCCATTGACTTCGGTCAGTCTGGTGACTCGAACAATCAAAGGCAAACACTTCCCCATGCTTAAGGGATGGACTGTACTTGCCGCGTGGGACAAGGGATATCACATGTGGTGGCCTGACACTCGATCCTATGGTCGAGCAAAGCACAATGTCAAGGCATACTACCTCCCACCAACTCGCATCGTTGCATGCCCCATTCGGCCAAAACATCAACAAAACCTATTGCTGGTGGGTCGAATAGACGGGGATGAAGCAAAGATTCTTGTTGATACGGGCGCGACTGTTTCTCTTTTCGATGAAAACAGAGCCACAAGTCGTGGGGTCCTCGTTGAAGGGCCGTCTTGCCCCATTCGTCTTGGTGACGATCGAGTCATCCCAAGCAAAGGGCAGACACGTATCAATATGGAAATTCAAGGCTATAACGAGACCATTAACGTTTACGTCCTCCCATTACTGGCAGGCGTAGACCTTGTTATCGGAATGGACTGGCTTCGAGCCAATGAGGTCATCCTTGACTTTCAGCACAACACAGTAACTTTCACTAAGAATGGTGTTGTGGTTCGGTGGCATGTTGCGGGGGATGTAAACATTGTTGATGCCCCATATTCCGATCGCCCCGACGTTCAGTTCGCCCTTGCGAATCAATTTGGGCAAGATGCAAAATCACCTGATACACTCTTTGTGGTACAGCTAGAGGAAACCACCCAATCGTCTCCTGAGATTGAGGATTTTCCTCCTCAGATGAAGGCTCTGGCAGAGGACTTCAAGGAGGTTTTCGAACCGATTCCTGATGGACTCCCTCCAGACCGCGCTGTGGGTCATACCATTCCTGTGGAGCCTGGAAAGGCACCACCGTTCAGACCTCTGTATCGCCTCAGTCCAGCTGGGTACGAAGAGGCTAAGCAGCAAATCAAAGATTATCTGGAAAAAGGATGGATCGAACCCAGTGCATCACCATACGGAGCACCAATCTTGTTTGTTAACAAGAAGGGCGGAGGACTACGCATGTGCGTTGACTATCGCGCCTTAAACAAGATCACAATTAAGAACAGATATCCGCTGCCTCGCATTGAGGATCTGTTTGATCGTCTCCAGGGTGCCCAATGGTTTAGCGCATTGGACCTCGCACAGGGGTACCATCAGTTGCGCATCACCAACGACGATGTACCCAAAACAGCGTTTCGCACGCCGTTTGGGCATTTTCAATTGCGTGTGCTGAGCTTCGGTCTGACCAATGCACCGGCCTCTTTTCAGAGGGCGATTAATGATGTCTTTCGTGAGGCAATCGGCCAGTTCGTCTTGGTTTACCTCGACGATATACTGGTCTATTCCAAGACCGAACAGGAGCACACAGAACACCTAAAATGGGTGTTAAACAAACTACGAGAGCACAAATTCTATGCTCGCTTGTGGAAGTGTCACTTCTATAAGCGCGAACTAGAATATCTGGGACATCTCGTGGGAAACAGTGGATTGAAAGTCGATCCCAAGAAAGTGGCGGCTGTTGAGAACTGGCCCGTTCCACAAGACGTGGGTCAAGTCAGGTCCTTTCTGGGCTTAGCCAATTATTTTCGCCGTTTCTTGGAGAATTATTCAACCATTGTTGCACCATTGACCGCACTTACTCGAAAGGGTACCGCGTGGGAATGGACCAGACAATGCCAACAGGCATTTGAAGCGGTCAAACAAAAGTTGACCAATGCTCCCGTTCTGGTATTACCAGATCCAACAAAACCCTACGAGGTAGTCACAGACGCCTCAACAGTAGGGATTGGTGCAGTCCTCCTACAAGAAGGACGGCCTGTGGCATACGAGAGTAGAAAGCTCTCACCGGCAGAGCAGCGCTATACGACTTCCGAACAAGAACTGTTGGCAGTCGTCCATGCGCTACGAACATGGCGATGTTACTTGGAAGGTGTGGACTTTGTTGTCACAACTGACCATTGTCCAAACACCTACTTTTCCAGCCAAGCCACCCTCACTCGTCGTCAAGCCCGATGGGCTGAGCTCCTTAGCGGGTTCAACTACGATATTCGATATCGGGCAGGTTCGACGAACATGGCTGACCCCCTCAGCAGACAGCCGATAGGGGCAGCAAACGGGCTTGAGGACACCGAACATGCTGCCGTCTTTGCAGCTTACTTTGGTATCCTCGCTGTTGCTCGAGTAAGTGAGATCACCTTCAGTGGTTTTCTGAAACGAATCCGCACAGGCTATCAGATTGATTCCTGGTTTCAGAACCCACAGAATACGAAGGATCTCTCGTGGGAGCATGAGCTCTGGTGGCATGGAAAAGAAATTGTTGTACCACATGTGGGGAACCTGCGGAATGACATCTTACAAGAAGTGCATGCTAGTAAGTACAGTGGACACCTCGGAGTTAAGAAAACCCGATGGGCATTGTCTGACGTATACTGGTGGCCAGGGTTGGGCAATGAAGTCCAGCAGTTTGTCACACGCTGCGACACGTGTGCACGTAACAAACCAAGCACACAAAAACCCGGTGGTTTGCTTCAACCACTCGAAATCCCTGGCGAACCTTGGGAGAGTGTATCAATGGATTTCATCACTGATCTCCCTAAAACACGAGATGGTCATACATCGATCCTCGTCTTCGTAGATCATTTGAGCAAGATGGTGCACTTCGTGCCTACAACCACGGACGTATCAGCAGAAGATACGGCTAAGTTGTTCATTGCACATGTTTTCCGTTTACATGGTTTGCCCCGTGTGCTAGTGTCTGACCGAGACCCTCGTTTTACAAGCCGTTTCTGGCAGGAGGTCATTCGGACACTAGGGACGAAGCTGAAAATGTCGTCTGCATTCCACCCTCAAACGGATGGGCAGACCGAACGCACAAATCGCACTCTTGAACAAATGCTTCGCTCGTTTATTGGCCCAACACAAGATGATTGGGATGAGCTGTTGCCAGTAGTGGAATTTGCTGTCAACAACTCGGTGCATGAGAGCACCCACGAAAAACCTTTCATCTTAAATTGTGGTCGGCATCCCACAACACCTGCTACACATGGGGTCAGTGGCTTGAAAATTCCAGTCGCTAAGGACTTTATTGGCAAGCGGCAAGAAGCGCTTAAGTCTGCTCGTCGTTGGTTGCAACTTGCCCAACAACACCAAAAGTCTTATGCCGATATGAAACGCCGGGACGTCTCTTTTCAAGAGGGAGACAAAGTATTGTTGAGTACGAAAAACATTCGACTCAAACTACCTGGGGCACGAAAGCTGTTTCCTCGTTGGATTGGGCCATTCGAGGTTATCAAGCGGGTTGGGGCGGTGGCTTATAAGCTTAAGCTACCAGACACTTTGCAGATTCACAATGTCTTCCACGTGTCTCTGTTAAACAAGTATGTTGCCGAAGGCACGTACCAACCACCACCAACCATCGTCCTGGGTGAGGAACTATATTATGAGGTTGAGCGTGTGCTGATGCACCGAGATCGACAACGCGGCCGTAAAACAAAACGTGAGTTCCTCATTAAGTGGAAAGGCTACGGGCCTGAACACAATTCCTGGGAGCCAGAAGAACACTTGACTGAATCAGCAGTTCAAGCTTACATGGAAGACTTGGCTCTCCGAGCAGCCCCACAGCCAGTGGATGGTGTTGACCCTGGCCGTAATGTGGTGCGTCGTGCTCGCAGCACCCGCCCCAAGAAGCGCTCCAAGGCAACGGGGACGTTGCCAACTGGAGGGGGAGGAGTGTAACGCATCGCCCTCCTACCCTACGAGCATTTCCTAGCTAAAGCATTACCTAAGCAAGGTATCGACTTACGGGAAGAAGAGGTTGGAGGAGATGAGTGGTGATTGGTCCACAATTGTGGACAACCACCCACTAAAAGACAAGCATGGTTGGAATCCAACCCAACCCCCACATTGGTTGGAATTCCAACCAATGACAATTGAACACTGTTGTTACCTGTTACAACATGTAACATAACCATCCTCATCACAATTCTATTGCTCTCATTGGTTGCTAATCCAACCATTATGCCACCTAAGCAAGCTTACCCCAAGGAGCTCCTTGCCCTTGTTGCCATGGAGGAAGTGGAGCTCCCCAAGGAGGTCAAGGAGGGGGTTTGAGCTAACCAAGCTCATTCTCAACTCCCAACTTCCAATTAACCAAAATGGAAATGGGATATTTTCTCTAAGTACAAGACTTTTCCCTCACAAGTGCTCTAAGCTCCAACTACCCCTTTGTTGAAGCTACTCTATCACTCTCCAAGCTTCAACTACTAAGTCTTCAAGACTCCAAGCTATCATAGGAGCTAGTTTTACCTTGTATGTGTTTTCATTTGTTGGCGTTTTATAAGCCTATTATAGACCCTTTTGTGGGCATTTGTTATAAGCCCGGGTCCTCATTGGTGATTTTAAGGGCGTTCTCTATAAGCCCGTGTTACAGTCAGTGTCGTTAGGAAATCAGCAGCGCCTCTTCTACCACAGCCGATTTGAGCATCACGAAAGCTACTACTATCAGAAGCAGTTTCGTTCTCGGGCATCTAACGCTGAAGAAAGCACTCGCCCTCGCTTTTTTCATGCTCAACATTCCGCCAGTCACCCTGTCTCCTTCGTAGCTTGATTCATCTCTTGCGTTCTTAGCTGGTGCTTCGCGTCGTCTCTGCGGCCGAGTTACTATGGTCGATCACCCATCCGTGAACATACACTTGCAGGCGTCTCCTCCTACCTTCCTCACTCATCGCCACTACCATACTCTGGAACGCTCGCCGCTCGCCGAACTCCCCGCGCACGAAAAGTTACCCGCGTGTGCGAAGCCGTGCGACAGAGACACCCCAAAAGCCGTGTTCTTTATGACATGTCGGCAGAGCCCCCGGCCGATGACGAAATCTCCTGATAACCTGACGCCGCTACTACCCTGCCCCGATAGCCCATTAACTCCTGACTGTAAACGGCAAGCGAGGAAGCTACAATCGGGGAAAGCCCGGGGGTTGCTAACGCCGAGTTCGATACCCGAAGCGAGCAAATGGTTTTCGCGGAAATGGCAAGAAGGGCGGCGCGTGGTCCTGTTGAGTTTCCGCGCGTCCGTGTTTCTCATCGTGATTAGTTTCACCGTGGTCGTCGCCTTTTCGTTCAACGCCATCCCGACACACGAGGTAAGCGCGCCGAGGTGCTCGTATCGAATCTGTCCCCCGCTCTGCTCCCTCTCCCCAGTTTGCCGTTGCTCTGGTGTTGCATATCAGTGCAGCTTCACTCAAACGTGGTGATTTTTTTAATTCTTTTCTTTTTCGCTTCTCCATTTCCCCCCCCTCCAGAGCGTCAGCGTCAAACCAAGAAGTTCTATCGAGGAGCGAAGCGGGCCAAATTCGTCTTTCGGTAGTGAGTTCGCAAGGGCGATTTTCGCTGAGTCGGGTTACAACATTGCAGCAGATTCGCAATCTGGGCCTTGTTCAACGTCGGGATTTGACGCAGGCTCGGCAGGTTCTGGGTCTGGAAATTCAGGTTCGGCAGAGCTAGAGCCCCAGGAAGCCTCGTCCGAAGTACAAATACTATTGAGTCGAAGGGGAGCGAATATTACGACGGAAATTCCGGCGAGAGTGATGCTCGAGGTTGACGGGAGCGAGGGTAGGAGACTGGCGGAAAGAAGAGAAGGAGGAGATTACAGTGAGGCACAGGGGGAGGGGGAGGGAGAGGCGGAGGCGGAGGCGGAGGCGGAGGGAGAGGGGGAGGGGGAGGGAGAAAGTGAGGGGGAGATGGAGGCGGGAGATGCGGAGGAGAAGGGGAGCGGTGATTACAACGACTCGGCTGATAAGGCGAGCAAGCAGAGGGGGATTCATCGTCGTCTTCCGCCTTCCCTTCCCCCAGCTCGTTCATTCCGCTTCCGCCCGTGTCGGCGGGGGATGCGCACCCTCCCCCCGCGCCCGTCAAGGAGCAGTTTCTGTGGCGCAACCCGCGCAGCCACGGCTACGCCAAGTGCAATGCGGAGGGCAAAAAGGGCGCCGCGCTCAAAGGTGAGGGGGGCGGAACAAGAGGGAGGGGAGGGGAAGCGGAAGAGGGGGTGCAGTGAAGAAAGCGCAGAGCGATGGGATTTGTTCACGCGAGAGCCTTTTGGCATGGGAGGCTGCTGAACAATCCTAGGGTTGAATTCTGTCGGACCCTTTCCCCCCATACTTGCCCCACTCCCCGCATCCCCACAACTCTGTTGCAGAGCCTTACTAAACTTCTCCTTCTCCTTCCTTGTATCGCCCCGGTTTCGCAGGTCGTCGCAAGGGCAGTCGCGGTCCTCTTCACAGTCGCCTGCGGGGGTGCGTTTTGAGTCGATTCAAAAAACATGCCTTGTATCGCCACGGTTTCGCAGGTCGTCGCAAGGGCAGTCGCGGTCCTCTTCACAGTCGCCTGCGGGGGTGCGTTTTGAGTCGACTCAAAAAACATGCCTTGTATCGCCCCGGTTTCGCAGGTCGTTGCAAGGGCAGTCGCGGCCCTCTTCACAGTCGCCTGCGGGGCCGCCCGGCGAAATCCGCCGTGGAGCAGGCGGCGCGCGCGATGGCTATGGCGGAGTGGGAGCGCAAGGTGCAGGACCCCGCGCAGCGGAAGCGCGTGCTTATATTGATGAGTGACACTGGCGGGGGCCATCGCGCGAGCGCGGAGGCTCTGAAATCGACGTTCGAGATGGAATTCGGGGATAAGTACGATGTTAACGTTGTCGACTTGTGGACGGATCACACGCCATGGCCGTTTAACCAACTCCCCAAGAGCTATAACTTCCTCGTGCGACACGAGACGCTCTGGAAAATGACCTACTATGCAACGAAACCCAAGTTCGTGCACCAGCCGCAGATGGCGGCGACGTTTGCGTTCGTCGCGCGGACGGTGTCGAAGGGGTTGGATAAATACAAGCCGGACGTGATGGTAAGCGTGCACCCTTTGATGCAGCATGTTCCGTTGCGTGTGCTTAAATCGAGGGGCCTTTTACACCGCATCCCGTTCATCACTGTAGTCACGGATCTCACCACCTGCCATCCGACATGGTTCAACCGACGAGTCAGCGTTTGTTTCTGCCCGACAAAGGAAGTCGCGCAACAAGCACTTAAAGCCGGACTCCAGCCCTCGCAAATCCGAGTGCACGGGCTTCCCATGCGCCCCGCGTTCGCCAAGCCTTCGGCACCCCAGGCCGAGGTTCGGCAATCGCTAGGTATGGATCCGGAGCTGCCAGCGGTGCTGCTGATTGGGGGAGGCGAAGGCATGGGGCCAGTTTAGGCGACCGCGAGGGCTCTGGTGGCAAGACTGGCGCCGGAAACGCCAGGGGGGAGAGCGAAGGGTCAGCTGATTGTTATTTGCGGGAGAAATAAGCAGCTTCAGGCGACTTTGGAGGCTATGACGTGGCCCATACCGACGCAGATCAAGGGGGTGGTTACCAACATTTCCGAAGTCATGGCAGCTTCAGACTGCGTCATCAGCAAGGTGTGTAGAAGTGTTACACGGGAGCTGCTATTATGGTTCTTGCTCACTCTGCTCATAAGTTTGCGTCTGTGTTTGTCTATTTCTAGCATTGCACTCATCCTGTCACTCCGTCCATTTGCCATCTGTCCGCTTGTTTTCTGTACAGGCTGGTCCTGGCACCATTGCAGAGTCGATGATCAAGGGCCTACCCATGATCTTGAATGACTTCATAGCTGGCCAGGTCAGTGTACCTTCAAGTTCCTCCTCTTCCATCAGTGCCTCATTCATTGTGCATGTATTTGCTGCTTGATTAGCTGCTTCTTTGTACTGCCAGCCTGCTCACCTTCTCTCTTGTCTGTTCCTTGTTTGTTACAGGAAGCTGGCAATGTTCCCTTCGTTGTCAAGAACGGTGCTGGGTTGTTCGAGGAGAATCCCCAAAAGATTGCCCAAATAGTGGCCGACTGGTTTGGACCCAAAGTGGATCAATTCAAGCAGATGGCAACGAATGCTCGTCGATTAGCCCGACCCGACGCAGTGTTCCGGATTGTTCGCGACCTCGATCAACTAACAAACCGACCTCACACCCTTGATAATGTCACATTTGCCTATTCTTGAGCCACGCATGGTGGTGTCTCCCCTGTGAGGGGACTTTGTCTTCTGCAGGGAAGTCTTGCTTGATTATCCACTTTAGATGTGCCCGTGCTATTCTAACCATAGAATGCCTTGGAGCTCAAGCTGCGAGGTTTTGTACGAAATTAGAAACCACCGTAGGATCTCTGCCATGCTAGTGTATGTTAATTGCATCTGATTCATTATATGCTTCATAAAACACTCCAGTGTCGTTATTCCAATGGTAATTTATGTAGAAAGCGGGCCTGGCGTTTTTGTCCCCTTATGGTCTTTGCGCCATTTCTGGTGGAGAATGGCACCGACCAAATGTTTTTCGGCCAGCTATGCGATCTTCCCTAGACCCAGGCCATCCAGCCTGGCATGTCGTTACACCTGATGCCTGTTTGAGCCCCTCCCGGTTGCCTTGTGAAGGGGGCGTATAAGCTGTACCGAGGCATTTCGCTTAAGTTCGTCATTTCGCAGCTAGCAAAAAAGGGTTCGCATGTGCTTATAACCAAGACCCTGCTACCTAGTTACCTAGTTTGACTTCAGTCTCTTCTGCTTGACTTCGGTCTCTTCTGCTTGACGCGCTTGTAATGTGGGTGCATGAGGCTGGGGAAACAACCTCGGGTGCAGCGTATCCATCTGGCGCAAGGCAAATTCGCGCGCATGGGGTGAGCATCAGCTGTACATATTTTTTGAAGCAGGGACGTTTTGGTTACGGTGACGTGACGTGACGCTCCCCCAACTTGACCAGCCACGAAATGGTCCAACGACTCGATCAAATCGACGCTGTAACGCAACGCGCCGCAAGCTCTTTGGCCAGCAAAATAAAGGAAGCAAGATACGATTCGTCTGGTCTGGAGTCAGGGTGGTCGCTGCAACGTGGGAATGAAAGCAAAAAAGGACGGGTAGTCTAATTTGTAGGTTTTGGAAGGCAGGTGAGGAGGTGATTCAAGGTTGTGTGGGGTGAGGAGGAGGATCCCGCCCTTCTCAACACTTCCTGCCACTCGTGCTGCACCTCAGGCGGTCAATGGTACCGTATCCCAGTCCCCCCCGGGCCCGGGTCTCCTTGGTTGGCTCCTTGGTTGGCTCTCCTTGGGCTCCGATGGCGGCCTGAGGTGAGGAGGATCAAGATTCGATGTTGATGGGCCTTGTTTTACAGAACATGCCACACCACAGTACAGAAAAATTCGCTACAATATTAACAATTGCGTAGGACATGAAGCTTGACAGGTTTAGCATGTATTACATAGCTTCATCTCCATAAATAGATGTATTGTACCCCACGGCAACCAATATGTTGCTAAACCATGAAGTAGAAAATGTCAAGATGCTCATGCGATCATGTTTGTGGCCTCAGCTTCCTCAACAAGCTCCACAAGTTGTCGAGCAACTTCTTTCTCCCTACCGACCACCACTGCAAGGTGGTTCCCTCCCCGAACCTCCAGCAGCTTCACGTTCGGATGACGCCGAACCAACCCCCTGCTTGATTCGATCGGGCACAGCTTATCTTTGTCACCATGCACTATAGTCACAGGAACGCTCCTGCTGCATAATTTACTGACCTCTGCTACAGTACCCGCTGATTTGGTCTCGCTACAAGCACCACTGCTTGTAGCGAGGACATTTGTGGGGCTCTGGTTGTGCAGTAGGCGCAGGGAAGGTTCCAGGAAGTTGGTACCAGCGCAAATGGTGTTGAAGAAGCAGTGCCAGGCAGTGTGATGTGTGCAACGGGTGAAATCCCGCACGAAGGAGGGTGGGAGCCTGCCATAGAGAGAGGAAGGGAAATTTGGGGGGACAGAGGAGTGAGAAGAAGCAGTGCCAGGCAGTGTGGTGTGGGCAGCGGGTGAAATCCCGCACGAAGGAGGGCGGGAGCCTGCCATAGGGAGAGGAAGCGAGCAGTTGGGGGGGCATCGGGACTAGCATGAGAGAGGGGAGAGTGAGGGAAGGGAGCATTTCCAGTGCCACACAGTGTGGTGTGAGTGACGGGTGAAATAATGCATGAAGGACAGAGGCAGCACGAACCAAAGGGAGGGAGCGACGGGACTAGCATGAGAGAAGGAAGTTCGGAGCATTAGACGTTCCCACCCAAACCACTCAAATTCTCCCACTCACTCAGGCTTCCCCAACCACAACCCACACTAACTCGGCGCCTTTTGAGGCGCCTCAAAAGACAACCCCACACTCACTCGGCGCCTTTTGAGGCGCCTCAAAAGACAACCCCACACTCACTCGGCGCCTTTTGAGGCGCCTCAAAAGACAACCCCACACTCACTCGGCGCCTTTTGAGGCGCCTCAAAAGACAACCCCACACTCACTCGGCGCCTTTTGAGGCGCCTCAAAAGACAACCCCACACTCACTCGGCGCCTTTTGAGGCGCCTAAAGACAACCCCACACTCACTCGGCGCCTTTTGAGGCACCTCAAAAGACAACCCCACACTCATTTGGCATTTACGTGGGGCAGCAGCAGAGCAGCGAGGGCGTCCGTGAGCCAATGAAATTGCGCCAGCATGGCGCAAAAGACCCGGCCCACGTGCTCGAACCACGACATGACGCTGATGCCAAAGAGGAGTGCAGAGTTAGACACTCACACTCACTTACACCTCCCCACTCACTCACTGAGACTTCAACACTCACTCAAAGACTTCCCCTCCTACAGCCTCTAACTCACTTGGATTTCACACGGGGCAGAAGCAGCAACGCAAGCGAATCTGAGAGCCAATGGAATTGCGACAACAAGGCGCAGATGACTCGGCCCACGTGCTCGAACCACGACATGACGCTGATGCCAAAGAGGAGTACGGGCGAGAAGCAGCGCGGGGTGACCAGCTGGTAAAACTCCTCTGCTGGCGTGAGGCCTGGGCGGGGAGGGATGTAGGGCTGGGGAACAGAACAGCGAGGAACGGAAGAGAAGGCGAAAGGAAAGGGAGAGGTCGAGACTGAGGCAAAGCGGCTCACACACCATCCCCTCCCTGTTTCCCCACGTGCTCGAACCATGACATGACGCTGATGCCAAAGAGGAGTACGGGCAAGAAGCAGCACGGGGTGACCAGCTGGTAAAACTCCTCTGCTGGCGTGAGGCCTGGTCGAGGGGGTATGAAGGGCTGGGGAACAGAACAGCGAGGAACACAAGAGAAGGAGAAAGGAAAGGGAGAGACTGAGACTGAGGCAAAGCTGTATTCTGAAGAAGTCGTTGTGGGAAGCGGCTCTCACACACACAACCCCCTCTCTCTTCCCACCACGTGTTCGAACCATGACATGCCGCTGACGCCCATGAGCAGTGCAGGGGAGAAGCAGCGCGGGGTGACCAGGCGGTAAAATTCCTCTGCTGGTGTGAGGCCTGGCTGGGGAGGGATGAATGGCTGGGGAAGGGAAGATAGAGGAATGGAAAGGTAAACGAGAGGAGAGAGAGTGAGAGATTCGAGGCAAAATGGTTTTCTGAAAAGGCCATTGTGGGAAGAGGCTTTTTTTCTTTAGGCGCCTCAATGAGAGTGAGAGATTCGCGGCAAAACGGTTTCCTGAAGAGGCCATTGTGGAAAGCGGCTTCTTGAAGAGGCAGAGAGGCAGAGAGCCATTGCGAGGCCAAAACCGCTGCTTCCAGGCAGCCATGCTGTGGCAGCAACCTTGCATCCCGGCAACCTGCTAACCCAACACCGAGAGAGGTTTTCTCACGGGAGAGTCGAGGCAGAGAGACACCACTCCGTCCTGGTGCAAGCAGCGAGAACGGCAGCTATCAGGCACCCCATGCTGTGCTCCCCGTCTTGCGTCCTGCCAACCAACCTGCTATTCCTATACTGGAAAAGTGGGTTACTCACAGGGGAGTAGAGGCAGACTGACACGACCCGGTCTCGGTTGCGGGCAGCCAAAACTGCAGCTATCAGGCATCCCATGCTGTGGCCCCAATCTCCTGCCTACCTGCTGCTACTTCAATACCACAAGCACGGGTTACTCACAGGGGAGTAGAGGCAGAGAGACACCACCCGGTCTCGATTGCGAGCAGCCAGAACAGCAGCTATCAGGCACCCCATGCTGTGGCCCCAATCTTGCATCATGTTAACCAACCTGCTATTTCGATACTGGGAAAGAGGGCTACTCACAGGCGAGTAGAGGCAGAGAGACAGCACTCTGTGGCGGTTGCGAGCAGCCAAGACTGCACCGACAAGGCACCCCATGCTGTGGCCCCAATCTCCTGCCAACCTGCTGC